CCTTTATCTTCTCTTCCCTCTTTTCTCTCTCTCGCTCTCTCTCTCTCTCTCTCTCTCTCTCTCTCTCTCTCTCTCTTCTTTCCGTGCTCTTTATCTAATCTATCCATTTTACAAGCAATGAGGACCCACCTAAATATACGAAATTGTGTTAATCATCTCGTCACTTCACAAACATCCGCCATTCTGAAATACTCTGATTGTAGAATGTTATTTTGTTTTCTAAGGTCAAATGTTGCTGTTGAAATCCCCCAAAAGTTCCCACCTATAATAGTAACCCAATGTAACGGTAAGATGCTTGTTTTCCTTTGCTTTCTTTTTTTTAAAATATATTATTCTGCCCAGATTAAAAAATAATATGATGGTCATAAGGCTGGAAAATGGTGATGGTGTATCCCCAGTCACGAAGGGTCAGTTAGGATTATCAAACTATTTTATTGACTAAGAAAACATTTATTTTTTGCTTCCTACAGCCCAAAACTCTGTTGTAGGTTATTGAGTTTGAATGTACTGAACCATATAGTGATGACAGGCTATGGTTGAGTCTAATATGGCTGATTTCTCTAGCATTGATTGCATGACTGCATCTTTGAAAATCTAGGAGTAGATAAAGAGATATACTTCTTGGCCTTCTTGGCCACCGGGTCCAACCATTTATTTTGCCATACTGGGCTTGCCAACTAGAAATTGGTGTTGAAAAACAAAGCTTGTCGAGCCTTCAGAAAGTAATGTGTTCAACTTTATTGATTTCATATCCTGTGTGATCTTTTTTCCAGACTCGACTGTTACTCCCAAGCCAAAATGTCAGACAGGAATGTGGTCTCCTTTCCCAAGTGGATATTTTATCCAAAATATTTGGAATCCCGTCTACTGCAATATGACTGTCTACAGAACCGGAGAATACTTTTTGAGATGTCTGAAAGGAAAGAATCTTTTCCTCATAGGAGATTCTACATTGCGGCAGTTCATAATGCACTTTACTGATGGCATCCAAAGTAAGATTTATATGAGCAAAGTACTGTAGTATTTATATAACAATCACAAATTTCAGTGAGGCGCCATGCTATAACAACTACTGTTCCATTGATGGTTCTTATAGACACGTTCTCATGATGTTGGATCTCTGAGCAATGATTTATTTGGTTGAGTACTAGATGGAACCTGAGATCCGTTCATGAGGCTTCTTGCAAGATATAGATAGCACTTTAGAACTGCTCTGCAGGTTCACTATCAAAACAAAACCTGTTGATGCTGGTGAAATTCCATGGCAGGGTGTTAAGCCTGTTTGCTTGGCTAGCTTTAAAATAGACTATATGATCAAAAGTTTGTGGACCCTGACCATTGCACTTATGTGAGCATGTTGGAAATCCCATTTCAAAGCCATGGGCATTAATATGGAGTTGACACCCCCCCCCCCCCTTCTCTTTAACAGCTTTTCCCCTGTAACAGTCCCCACTCTCTTGGGAAGACTAGCCGCAAGATTTTGGAGAGAGTTTGTTGAAATTTGTGCCTATTCAGCCAAAAGAGCATTTATGAGGTACTAATGTTGTAAGAGGATTTGGTTTAAAATCAACATTCCAAGTCATCCTAAGCCCTCATTCACGCTGGAATCAGCCTGCACGTACAGCTCCGTGCTGCGTGCAGGGCCGTACCAAGGCGAGCAGCTCCCGGGAAGAACAGGTGCTGCGTGTGATTAGTACGTAGCCCCTGTCCTTCTCTATGAGACTACACGACCGTATGCCCCCCCTACGCTCACCCGCCCTGCACATACGCACGGGTGAGCGTACTCGTACGCTGACAGGATGGATCCTGTCTGCATCCGAGCCAGGAAACACGCTCCCCTATGGACCTGCACTTGAGGTGAGCGTAGGTCGGCGTACGGCCACATAGTCCCATAGAGAAGGACAGGGGCTACATACTAATCACACGCAACACCTGTCCTTCCCGGGAGTTGCTCGGTACGGCCGTGCACGCAGCACGGAGCTATACGTGCAGGCTGATTCCAGTGTGAATGAGGGCTAAAGGTGTTCATTAGGGTTGAGGTCAGGGCTCTACGCAGGCCACTCAGGTTTCTTCACACAAAAATCCTCAAATCTTGTCTTTGGCTGGTTTTGGGCACAGGGGCGCACTCATACTGGATGGATGGTATATCTCTCCCTTGTTTAGGTGGTGGTCCCGTTAAGGTCACCTTGTATTCAGGGTTCTCGCCAAGCAGGGTGAGGGGTTCAGGGTGAAGGGTTCCGGGTCGGACTTGTAAGGGAAACTGCTAGGCAGTCTTCCCAGAGTTGTTAATTATACATGGGTCCTGGAATCTGGAGGCTCAGAGAGATTTTTGGGATGAGCCTCCATCCCTGACTACAGCCAGTTCTGGTAATGAAAGGGTTAACCCACCAACCACAGGGTGTGTTAAAAAGGATCAGGAAGCCAGTCAGTCTGTGTCTGTGAGGAGTGTTTGGAGCAGGACACATGGATGTGTGTGTTAAGTTGTGGAATACCCTCTACCGAGACACTGCTGGGGCACCTGTCTCCATTCTGGAACCCTCTGTGAACAGGCTGGGACTCTAACCCTGAGGCTGGGACTCTAACCCTGAGGTGGGACTTGGTATACAGGCGCTTAGCCGAATGTTGTGTTTGCTGACAATAAGCCCTGTTGATTTTATAATTCTGCTGAATATAAGTCATTTTTATTTGATTGTTTGAGGAAAAGAATAAAGTTTTATTTGCTGGTATGGCTGACTACGGGTCATATCCGCCCTGAATATTACACCAGCAACCTACTAAAGAAACAAAACAGCTTGGAAACTATATTGCTCTCAATTAACACTTATTCTTTCCTCCAACAGTTGTGAATTACTTTCGTTACCATCTAAAAGGATGGTCCGGTTGGTCAAAGACCCTTGAAGCCCTAAATATGGAAAAGGACCTTTATGTCTCCTATAAAAGACATGGCTTTCCCCTGGAGCATAGTGCTTTCTACTACTTCAAGGAAGACATGTACACGAGCCGTCAGATTGATTTACGTGGCGGAGGGAAGGACACAATTTTTGTTATAACCCTGGGCCAGCACTTCAGACAGTTCCCTCTTAAACTTTTCATCAAACGGGCACTCAACATCCACCGAGAGGTAGAACGCCTCTTCCTCCGGAGTCCGGACACCAAGGTTATCATTAAATCAGAAAACATCAGGGAGATCTTTGCCCCAGTGGAAACACGGGGAGACTTTCATGGCTATACCCAGTATCTTGTACTCAGAGAAGTTTTCCAGGGCCTTAATGTGGGCTTTGTGGATGCCTGGGACATGACAGTGGCATCTGCCACAGCGTCTGTTCATCCTCCAGGGAACACGTTTGTCAGTATTATGAGCCTGACATTTAGTTTTGCTTGTTAATTTGAAAAGATTGTGATGAAGGAACAACGTAGAATCACAAACACTTTCTTTGGAAAATGCCCTTGGGATTTTGGGAGGTGTCCATATGGTGGGGCAAAACATATATGCCCCAGGCCCTCCTAGTTACATACATTGCTACTTAGTCTGTCCATTGTCTTTCACTTGGGACCTCCATGTTGCTGTAGACCTACTGGATACCAAGTATACAATACCAAGATAATGGCTTAGAGAAAATTAACTATGTGATTCTCATCTCAGATTAATATGAATATTAACTATGACTATGCATTATGTCATATTTTTTTTAACTGTGTAACAACACAACCAGAGAACGCATAATACAAAGTTGAGTGAGGAATAATTATCAGAAAGTACACGGGCAGGCATGTCCTCTATGGAGGGCGTGAGCGCACCTGATGGGAAGGGACGATATAATACAAGATATCAAAAGAAACAAAGAGAACTGAAAAGAAAAACTTTAGGAATAACGAGAGTCGGAGTAAGTGGTAAGAGTGAGGAATCTAAGAAGAGAAAGGGAGACAGCAAGGGACAAGGTGATGGTGCGATGGAAATGAATAAGGAGGGAGGAGCTTGAGCCCTTCCTTTTTTAGAAGAGCCTCAATTACCGCAACCGTCCAAATAAATCCATGCAGAGAAGGGACCAAAACGACCCTGTGTTAGAGTTAGGGGAAGGCAAAAAGACGTTTTTGCTGAAATGCCTATAAATACATGTAACCCCACTCTCCTTTTCTGACCAACAATATGAAGTTACATCAAAAGATTTGACTTCCTGTCCTAATAAAAAAAACATGGATAGGTTTGAAGTTATTAAAGACATCAATCTTTTTGTGAGAAAGCTAAGCTAATGTTAAAACAGTGACATGATAAAGACAACTTACCATTGGGAGGTTTGTTGAAAGATTGGAATTATTATTATTTTTTTTTTAAAGAAGATGGTAGTAGAGTTTTGCGTGATTTATGTGAGGAAGGTAACATTTCTGATGAGGGGGAAGGATTGAATGAACAAGCAGAACACGAAAAGAAGAGATCTTAAAGCCTAAATCTTCCATGTTCCACCCTGGACACAGAATATTCATTTATTCAATTTTGTTAAGAAGGTGAGTGATGCTACCATGAGAATACGCCCACATAAGATCATGTAGCGCTCACCCCCCGAAGGAGCCGCTGGAATACTCGGCTCATCCATAGCCTGTCTAGGGGATTTTAGCAACCAGCTGCCCTACTAGCATTAACCGCCCTCTTCTTGTGTCCAACAGAGCTGAGATCTAGGCCAAAAATATGATGCTGAAGAAAGTTTATTAGAACTCTTGAATAGGGAGAGAGGGTTTAGGGCTTAGGACATCTATGCGAAACATAGACAAACTCCAGACTCACCGGTGCCCTTCAGAATTCCAGTGCAGATTCAATAGGAGCACACGCTGACCCTGGGTATATGAGCATTCTCTGAATAGGGATAGGTACAGAATCTTCAGTAGGAGAGACACCAGACTTGCTCCTGAGGTCCACTCTATTCCAGGCACCTCCACCAGATAGCAGCTTCCCTAGTTCTTCTCCTCAATCAGTAGCAAAGGCCTCCTCCAGGCTTGAGGCCTAGTGAAACATTTCCTGCACTTGAGGATTCCCACCCCCAGGGGCAGGCTGGACAGAACCGAGTCCTGACTGGCTTTTGGGCTATCCCAGAACTGGACTGAGCACATGACAATTCCTCTGAGTATATATGCCCTGTCCCAGCATGCACCACTGGCTAGGAGAGTACCAGTAATTGGCTGGTGGACTGCACACACACTCACAGTGTGCCTCATTTGCTGTCCCACACAACAGTAGAGTCAAACTCCACCCAGGCAGGTACAATCAATGCCAGAACACCTGGAGTTATCAAGGTAAATGCCAACTATAATTGAGCCAGACTGACTACAGCTCTGGCAATCACTATATTTCGAGGTCAGTTGTGTAAAGCAAAGTGCAGAGGTCAGTGTAAGTAATGCAGAGTGCTGAGGTCAGTGGTGTAATGCAAAGTGCAAAGGTCAGTAATAAGTAACACAGAGTGCAGAGGCCAGTGGTGTGATGCAGAAGGCAGAGGTCAGTAGTAAGTAACGCACTGTGCAGAGGTCAGAAAACACCAGAGAACTGCACTCTCCGGTGTAAATGCAGGGGGACTTCCATGGCTACGCCCAGTACCTGGTGCTCCGGGAGGTCTTCCAGGGCATCAACGTGGGTTTTGTGGACGCCTGGGACATGACGGTGGGGGTCGGCTCGACAATCGTTCACCCTTCCGGCCACACGTTTGCCAGTATTATGAGCCTGGTGTTCAGCTTTGCTTGTTAATAAAAGCTGTTGAGACATCAAAATATAGGCTGAGTGTCTCTGGTCTTAGAGTGGGTATTGCAGTAAATTAAAAGTGCACATGGATACATTCCTGACGTGTCACAATATCCATTTTTATTATTTTATTATTTTTCAAAAAAAGTTCCAATGTTTATTATTAAAGTGCATTCTATCTATCTATCTATCTATCTATCTATCTATCTATCTATCTATCTATCTATCTATCTATCTATCTATCTCTTATGATAAGTATTCCAAAGGAAAAGGTTCTTTGTTCATAGAAGCCAATCTGGTCTCCGGATCCATAATTAATTTGGAGTGTAAAATTGACAGTTTGATCATCTGTATATATTGTAATTTGTTTATAGTGTTAGGTTGAATCATTCCTATAGATAACAAGAACATTTTCTTCACAATATTCCTACACAAATCCCAGAATAATAAAACCACAAAGTAACTGCGGTCATTAAAGGGATAGAAGGCCTGAGTTATGAAGACCCCATCCAGCAATTAAACTTATTCAACTTAGAAAAGAGGCGCTTAAAGGAGAACTATGGTGTTAGGGCTTTTCCCCATAGTTCTCCTTAGGGTAACGGGAGAACACAAACTAGCGTCCTCCCGTCACCCTAAGCTCAGTATACCGCGAGCTATAGCTCGCGGTATACTGAGACGTCACAGCTGAAGCGGATGCCGACAATTATGTCTGGATCCGCCCAGCTGCATGAGTGACAGCTGGCTCTGCCTATCTAGAGGCAGAGCCAGCTGTACCCGCCCCCTCCCCCCGTCCGTTCCGCCAGTCAGCACTGCAGTATCGGAGCGGGGAGTGGGGAATCCAGCCCCTCCCCTGTCACGGCAGAGAGCCGTGACAGGATCGAGGAGTGAGCAAATGCCGGTATGTGTTCGCTCACTTCCCGATCTACTGAGCCGACCTGTGACACAGTCTCATTGTCACAGGTCCGCTAGAACTATGAGGTGAGTGAAAAGCATTCACCTCATAGTTCTCCTTTAAGAGGGGACCTTATTGCTGTCTACAAAATCATCAATGGTGACCACATTATTCGGAAAAAGTTGTTTATATCGAGAACCATATTGAAAACACGAGAACACATTTCCCATCTCATGGATAGGGAGGATCCATGCAGTGAAGATGACCTTCCTGCCTAAGTTGCTCTACGTGTTTCGGACCCTGGCGATTCCCATCCCTGGCCATATCTTCCGCATTCTCCAACGCAGGATACTCGCGTTCATCTGGGGCAACTCCCGTCCCCGACTCAACCGAAAACTGCTATATCGCCCCAAGCTTTGTGGCGGTCTGGCAGTTTCTGATCTTCGTGCATACTATACGGCTGCCACCATTGCCCCCATAGCCCTCTTACACTCAACAGCCGAGCTCCCGCTTTGGGCGTGTTTGGACATGGTGGACTGTCATCCCCTGCCCCTCACGTCCCTGCTATGGCAACAAATAAAACCTTTGTGAAAGAAAACACGAGAACACAACACAAGGTTAATTCCTCAAAGTCAGTTCCTCTAGTTATATAAAATATGAATTACTTTTACAGCAATCCTGTAGACGTTTCCAAGCTGTATATTCACTAATTGTATCCAAATTTATTTGGTATGTGTACATGCACAAATCACCATGAACCCGGAAAGCTCAAGGACCCCTGGGACCTACCGACTCCATAGACTGCACATGGTCTGCTAGTTATATAGTTATGTCCTTGCTCTGAAGTGATAGATATTAAGGGTGAAAGATCTGTTGCTTATTTTCTATAACCGTCCTACTCCCCCCAGCTTCAACCAGTCACTGCAGCCAAAGAAGATAACGGGAAGACATTTTTTGTCTGTATTTCCTGCTTTAATTAAAACACCAAGTGCAGTAAAGGCAGATGCAGAATTCTTAGCTTTATGGCCTCTGCATGAGCTTTAACCGCATTGTCGCAGCATTTTTATGTGAGAAGGTAAACATTTATGGCGTGATAAAAATATATGTTGACTGCGTGACCATATTGTGATGGAGCGCAGGTCCGATCCCCCTCTATGTCACCAACATATCACTATACGCATTTCTGAGCCTATCATGCCGACACAAAGACTTGATGATGACACTCTCGGCCTCACCATGCACAGAGATTCTCCAACTCACGGGACAACAATCTAAGGCCAGTGGACTGAGAGCGATTGTCACCGGGGTTAGTTAACATCGCAGTTAATCCTTTACACATACAAATAATATCTGTCACCACATGTTCAATGGAAATACACAACGTTCTCAGCAAATGTTGTGACAATCCAAAACTTAAGCAATGCCTGTAATGTCCACTGTCCCTCCAGACGGGAATATGTTTTACAATATGGTAGCGCTCTTCACAGAGACAAGGATACTTTAAGTTGTGATTTTGAGAGTAGAGAAAAGCTTAACAATTTTAGAAGATTGTTTCTATTTAAAGACGTTGCAGAAAAACATAAAGAAAAGGATGTTGTTGCAAAAAGAGAGACAAATAAAAAAACAGTACAATGAAAAGTACTTGACAAATTCCTGGTTTTATGAGTCCCAGCAGAGTCCAGACAATGAAAAAAAAGATGGAACTGAATTGGGCTCTGTTAGGCTTCCGATTTCAGAGTTACCCAGGATTCGATCACACTGCCAGCTTCAGACAAGTGCTTTGGAATAAAGAGCCACACCAAGTTGTGTATTCACTCTACATTCAAAGGTTTATTGTGAAAACAAAAGATT